CAAAAAATCAGAATTGGCCTAAAACAAGTCTGGCATGAATTGCTTATTTTATTTATTAGATATTAAACCTACACTTGGTAACTGTTCTACTGCTAAGGATCAAAATAGTCATTTTTAGACAAAGAAGATCCTTAGCAAAAATTGATTAGTGTATATTTAATAAAAGATTACAAGATAATTATTATTGTGTTTGTCGAACAAGGAACTGCAGCTGAAACTAGCTCCTCGATATACATAAAATCATGGCTGCAATAACTTCTACATCACGACATGGTGTGAACACTTTCCACTAATGCTGATGAGACAAGATGACACAGAGAGTTTGAAGCAAATACACTTGTGTAACCACTGCCTCAAGCCTGGGCACCTTCTGAATCATACATGTAAATAAGGTGTTGGACAATGTGGCATTTTTTATTCTCCTGCTGGAGGTGAGATGAGTCATACCTACACACTGACACCGCCTCCCTATAGAATATCAATATTTCATCACTGACCAGCCAGGTAGCTCGGCCCAGATACATGGCCAATAATTGTATTCATATTGCATTCTTCATCCGACCATGCAGCTTTCCAATGTGCCTTTTGTCTGCCATGTGCTTAGTTGCAGTTTGAAAGGACTCATACTCTTCCCCTTCCACAGTTGTAATTATTTTACTGATTAATTACACCATGCTATCTTGTACTTGTACAATCTCTGCTCTTGAAACTTAATGTTAGGTTTAACATAGGATGTCTGATAATGCTGACTATTGTACACGTTCAAACTCAATGTATATGTGGGATTTGCTTGAATGTTTCTGACTGCTGGGTTAATTTATGCCAAATTTTCTCCTTTTCCCTAGATGAAAAGAAACCCCAAATTGAAGCATACAGGGGTTTCCTATAGCCTCATAAACATCATGTCTCTTCTCTAGGTTCTCCGGGCGGTAGGGTAGCCTGGTGGTTAAGCGTTCGCTCACCACGTCGAAGACCCGGGTTCGATTTCGGACATGGGTACAATGTGTGAAGCCCATTTGTGGTGTCCCCTGCCGTGATTTTGCTGGAATGTTGCTTAAAGTGACATAAAACCTCACTCACTCACTCACTCACTCTGGGTTCTCACACATGTCCTTCCCTGGGGCACATCACGGAATCTCGATGCTGTTAAATCTAGTTTCCAGCTCAACTGAGACTAAATGACATGAAGGGAATGGGAGGAAATCCACAACCTCTCAGGAAGACCTCAGGGAGATAGATTGCACGTAATTCCTGCACCATTAGCCTCCTGTGAAACCAATGTCACCAATGACCTTGAACCTCAGATGACCACCTGATCCTTGCTCCTTGTTTGTCTGTTGAGGCACTGGGGAACAGTGTCCAATAATCTAATCTCTTGGCCTACCTACAGCTCAATATTTTTGTTATTCATAATTCAAATTGAAAATAGCTTGAGGCATTGAGAGCCTAACAAACCTATTCTGAAGATAGCAACAGTGTTCATCTGACTTCTGATTCTTGTGTGAGACTGGACAAAATAGTCACTGATTTCCTATAACTCCCGGCCATTTCAAATCCAGTGAATTGGGATGTTTTTCTGTGTAAAACAATTTGGGTCCTCACTATGACCTCAAATGCCACCATCTTTGCTTCCTCACTCGCTCCACCAATCCAGCATGGTTTAACACCTCGATGTCTCTAATTGGTCAATAATTGACCAATCGTAATTCTAACTTGTCATCATGGCAAGGCAACTGTTCTTTGTCCTTTTTTTCAAAAGGTCATTGTTTTTTTCTTGGCTTTGAAGCGAATGCTTTGAAGTAGGAAGCAGATATTTAAAATGATTGTTCATATTCATGAGAACTAATTGCTTTAGATCAGCAAAAGCAAAAGTGAAAATTTGACACATTCATTTTTCTTCCAATTCTCAAGTGTTGTATCCCTGGTAACACGCCTTCAAACAAAACAAGTTTCATGTCTTGTTGAGAAATGTGTCATTAAGATCCTCTCGAGAAATAAACGACATTCTTAATATCAGTCAGAGATGACATCAAACACAAAATCTCTTGGCCCTGTGAGATTTCTGTCACCTAATTCAATTAATGCCATGCATTTCAATAAATTGCCCTGAGTAATTGCTGTTCCTGTAATTTGGGAAGATTTTCTTTTGTCTTGCATGCTGGCCAATTCAAACAACAGACAGAGTCATGCTGATACTCCTTATGTAATTACAGTTTCATTTAACATACCATTTTCATCAGCGTGAAACATGACTGAAGAGGGTTCGTAGTTCACCTTTCTTTTTATACAAAACAAAAATGTACGCACTACATTAACACTACTTTGAAAATATCATACAGCAATCCATATTGAAACAATGGTTTTAAATAGTTGAATGAAATAAATATGGACATGTTTGCAAAAGTATTTTCAACCTTGAGTTGATCCAATTTGCAGGCACGCTGAAAGTATCGGAATGGCAGCCATTGGTGCTGCATTGTCCGACTGCATTGAAGAAGCAATTACTGAGTAGAATCGATATTGGCCTAAGGTAGGGCTTAATGACAGTGACAGGCTCGGGTCAATATTGCACAGATGAAAACGGAAGACGTAGAATTGATCGAAGATCCGGATTGGAGGAGAAGGTAAGTCCAGGAGAGCAAGGGCAGAGAACTCTGTAGCTACCATTGATTTATCCTGACTCGAGTGTTGGTACCTGCTTCCTTTGGCCATTGTGAACAATAGATCATGTCTTTACCCTGATGTGGGAGGGATATATGAACATTGGTGATTTCCATCAATCCTATTGTCTGTCCGTCAGTCTGTCTTTCTTTCAACTTGAAAGGAAGACGAATAAAAGGGATTTCTGAAATTTTGCAAAATGTCTGCAGAATAAGAAAACACGTCTTGTTTGATTTACTGAAATCATATCGCGTTTGATTGATTTATTGAAATGATATTAATTAGAGTCATGACCCTTGCATTTCTTTCATCTCATCATCAGCAGAAAAGCATAACTATTGTAGATTCAGGAAACTATGGTTACAACGAACTCAAAGAGACCCCTGATATTAGTTTGTTACAACCATAGTTTGTTATAGGCATATGTAAAGCACATATACAGCAAAAAACGGATGGGACCTGAAACAATTTGTTATATGTGTTGTTTCGTTATAAGCGTGTTCGATATAAACGTAGTTTACTGTATTGAAATTTAACTCTTTTGTTGGGGGGGGGGTACAAACTTAGTTTACTGTATTGAAATTTAACTCTTTTGTTGGGGGGTGTCCAACATATTTAAAATACAGTGTTGAAACATTGGACACAGGTTCCTACTTGTCTGACAATTTAACAGCTTGAAGAGGTCTGGCATGGTATTTCTACATGCATTAATAAACCTGGAGAAGGAGCAGGTTAGATTTCAAGATGAAGCATATGTTCTTTGAACAGAATCAGTTCCATCTCTTGAGACGAACATGTATTCCCTGCAGCGAAGGGTGTCATCAAGGGGAGGTAATCCTACATCACTTGACCTTCCATCAACTATCACTGTACTTCAAAGGATTAGGCCAGTTGACAGAAATGTCAATACCTAGACACTCAAGACCAAAAGTCCAATAATTCTAACATGGCCTGATCACGAGGAAACAGCCCCAGCTTTGCGAGGTACAAGAGATGTCTATTAGTTTGCCCCTGTGAGTAGTTAGACCAAGAAAAACAACAAGATTTCACCTCCTTAATTACAAGAGCAGCAACCTTTGATCTCAGTCTCACCCATGAGGCCCCGAAAAATCAATGGCCAGTAAAGAGTGGCCTCTCTTGCACCTTATTCTCCAGGATTAATGAAGAAAAAGAAAATTCATTTGTCGTAATCACTTTTTCTCAACTGCATTACCATCACACAAATGAACTTTACTGTACGGAGGACAGATCTTGAATCATCTGTTTCTTTATAATTAATGGGCCATTGAGAATGGCAATGGTGCACACATAGCTATTTTCTTACAAAAAGTGTATTTGACCCACGGAATCAATCCAGGTCCTTCTGTTGTAGTCTGGGGATGTCAGAACTCCCTGTGAATATAGCAGGTGTGACATCGGGGTGTGTGACTAATTGCTTGTGGGGCTTACTTGCCCTTAGGGGTCTAAAACTTTCTCCCAACTAGGTAGTCAGTATTGTAAAAAGGAAATCTGTATGAATTAATTCTGTGATTTTTGGACAGCATCAGTGAGGTGAGAACACTGATATATTACTCTGTACTCTGTGTGTGTCTGTCTGTGTGTCTGTGTGTCTGTCTGTGTGTTTGTCTGTGTGTGTCTGTCTGTGTGTCTCTGTCTGTGTGTCTGTCGGTGTGTCTGTCTGTGTGTCTGTAGGGTAACCTTTAAAGTACCACCTTTAAGATCTTTTGGTGCGATGCGTCCGGGGATCGAACCTTCCGCACACTCTATCCACTAGAACCACGGATGAGGTCAGATAGTGTCTGACACTGGAAAATTATCTCAGTGAATCATGTCACACCATGTGTACACAGCACCCAAATTCTGTTAATCCAAGGATACCTGTGTATGTGTGAGGCCAAATGGTGATAGCTTGTGCCAAGCACGTAGTGTTCCTTGATGTCTGGCAAAACAACATGTCACTTAAGGAAGAACATTTACGGATGTCAACATTTTTATTATGAGGAACAATATTTTGGGAGGCGGTTGGGTAGCCTAGTGGTTAAAGCGTTTGCTCGTCACGCCGAAGACCCGAGTTCGATTCCCGACATGGGTACAATGTGTGAAGCCCATTTGTGGTGTCCCCTGCTGTGATATTGCTGGAATATTGCTAAAAATAGCGTAAAACCATATTCACTCACTCACTCACTCAATATTTCAGAGTATGTACTTACTTATACTTACACCTTCATCAGGTGAATGAAACGATGTGTTCCTCATAATAAAGAAGTAGACATCCATAAATTTTCTTCCTTATGTGCATCACTTCAAAATGCCTTTCAAAGACTTAAAATGTCCCTTACCTTTCCATTTCCAAATCGACCTTGTGTTTCCACCATGGTAATGACCATTAGTTTTCCAAGGTCAATCTGCAAGTACTCGTAAACATCTTTGGTAATGGCTAATGTAGGACACCAGGCACCGCCCTTTCTTTCTGTTCGTATCCTGAAAAATACAAAAGACAAAATTAGTCTTGTTTTGAAACAAAGGCTAAACAGATATGTTAGATCGATGCTCATGACATCAATCACCAGACTGTTTGGTCCAGACTAGATTATTTAAAGACTGCCGTCACATAGCTGGAATTTTGAGTGCTGCATTAACAACAAACAAACAAAACATGTTCTACGTACAATGCACAGTCACTGTCAACTACTTCCTCAGATCTTCGAACGCATGAGTGCACTGCACTGAAACAATAGGTTCGCCGTTGATGGCATACACAGACCCCCAGCGCCATCATCAATATTGCATTATGTTTTATGGCAGCAGCCAGTTCATACAAAGCCATTATTTCCTACAAACACAAACTTTGTTTTACATATAACACACTGTATGTTTTAGACAGCTATCTCACTTCTATGTTTTCTTACCACACTAGTTCAAAGCCATGATGTTGTAAACACGTTCTAACAAAGCATGGTATGGGCCATTACTTCCATGTCTGCTTTATCACAAGTACCCAGTCTTTCAGATTGATCATTTCTAAAATGTTTAGATAGTATGTGTATAAACACACATAATCCACACTAAATGCCCAAAGGACCTGTGATACGTGAACCTGTATTTTACAGGGTATATCCTCTTGTTTGTTCCTGTCAGGCCTTGCTTTCAATTTTCCATTTCAGTACCTGTAGTCTCCTCACCCCCTCTTTAATTTTTCCTCCCTCAGGCAGTAACTCACACCTCCCCGGTGTATAACCCTGAAATATTTACTATACCTGTGATAACAAACCACATGATCATCACAGTCCAATCATGTCATTATCAAACGGAAACACAACTGTGTTAAGTCTTGGATTATCTCCCCTTGGGCTAACTACTTTTGACTAGAGAAAATCAAGCCTGTATGTTGCCCACGTTTAATAGGTAAGGTTTTGTCAAATGTTGGCTTGAGTTACATGAAGGCAATTGTGCTAAGTATATCAATGACATGACATCAACGAAGCATGAAAATGCCAGCATTTGTAGTCCATGAACCAGAACCTATAGGGTTGCCACTGATACTGGGCTTTGCATGATGGGTGGGTGGGATGGGGGTAGAAAGGGGTCGGATACAGGTTTACAGGGATGAAGGGTGAAATTAGAACTCTCCCCCTCCCACATCTCTTAGGGAGCAACAATTTGGGGCCTGGATTTTTTATTTGAGATGAACATTTGTTTTTTTAATGTTTAGGAGTTCCATTATTTTTTCCAACATAAACAGAAGATCAATTATTATTTTTAATAAATAAAAATAACAAAATGTTCTCTTTGGACACTTGACTGCAAGAAAAAGGGGTCATTATTTTTCTCATCTACAATGCGAGTCATTTGTAAAAAACGTTCAGTGATAGATACTGTGAAGATTGTTCAACACTATTGGGGTACGATGACATGCAAGTAACCGAGTCTGTGACCCAATCCAATTGATCACCTCACACAATCAGCAGAGGTTGCTGGAACCAATTCCAAGATGGAATTCCAATAGGATGTATTCAAAGAAAGTTTTCATAAAAGGGTCTATCCTATGAACAAATAATACTGTGCAAATGTATTTTGTTGAAATATGGACAATGCAATCCACATGTTTATTGTTTGCCTAAAGTATGAAATGTGTTTTCAATCACACAGTGATCTGAGCAAAAGGAAACTATTTTAGAATTACATTGTTAGTTGATGATTGAACATAGGTGAGTAGGTTAATGGTGGTGTGAACGTTTGATGTGCACGTGCACCATACATAAGTGTCAACAAATCCTTTTGGAAAACAAGGCGAGCTAACAATGGAGACTATATGCCATCACAGATGCAAGAGGTCGTTGAAAACGAGAAACTACAAATGTGCGACAGGAAACCCACAAATGGAATACAAGCAATGTCACATTTTATTTCACTCCAAAAATAAAGCAGAGGCTGTTGCCTAGTGAAAACTGTCTTTCGACATTATCCGTAGTGCAGACGACGGGGTATTAGAGGCTATCAACATTATTGGATGTCTACCACAGCCTTGGCAGCAGAACAATCTATTATTTCTTTCCTAAGCCTATAAATATTTCATGACTGAAGCAATAGGAAGTAGCCATATTATTTAATATTCAGCATATTTTTCATATAAACATTTTGCTTATTCGAATTTGCACTTCTTTAGACTCAAGATCATCATTTCCTAGGTGGGTGAGCGTGCGGCCGCTGTGTAGAGTTGTGAACCTATAATCGAGAATTTGAATCCAGGTTCACCCCGATTATGTTTCTAGGTTTGTCAGCACCATCCCCTTCTTGTGAGTGGTAAACGTCTATTACCTGCATCATTTCGGGCTTTCCTCCTACATTAATCTGATATGAGTGATATAACTGGAATACTGTTCAAAGCGGCGTTAAACCAATCTCACTCACTCATTTCTGGGTTTAACTCAATTATTATTAACAATTATTGCAGAATGAGACTACACATGCAACAATGTATATATCTCCTAACTATTCTGTATAAGCAGGACTGTTTGTGTAGCCCAGCTTGTGACTACAGGGTAGTGAATACCATCATTAAGGACAAAACCAGACAGTTCTCAGAATGAGACAGACCCTCATCCCCCCATATCCTTTCATCACTTTGGTACAGGACATTCTTGAGACTCTTCCGAAATAAAGTCCAGAAACTACCACCTGCAGCAGTAATTTCTATCCTCTAACGCTAAAGAACCCCATTAATGTCATGTGCTATTGACGCAACAACCAGCTTACACCTTTCAACCTGAGCCTCTGTCCAAAGCAATTACCCAGCATTCATTAGAGGAACATCCTGAGTCACAAGAAGAAATAGTGGCTGGAAGAAATGTCCAACACACGACATCAGGGAAGTTGTACAAGCTGTTTGTGCTTTGATGTGAGGACCATCCCCAAAGGACCAAAACATGCCTTTGTGGAACTAGCAATATTTCTGGCGATCTTTGACCAGGCATTCTGCCTCTTCAACATGTTTCAAGGAAGTTCTTCAGACAAGTACCGTTATTTTCTCAAAAGTTCTTTTCATGTTAATATGGTTTGAGGTGCTTACAGCTGTGATTAGGTCTGTGATAGTCCTGATTACCCATTGACATTCACAGAAGGATCAATAAGGAACATCAGCTATTATAAGGAAACTTGGAGCTTAAATATGAAGGATGTGTGCATATTCCAACACATAATCATCATCAATATTTTTAACCTAATTTACACCTGGTGTCATCACTATTGGACAGAGATTCATAAAATAAAAGCTACTCTTGCCATATTCATAAGTTTGTTTTGTTTGTTTGTTTGTTGTTTAACACTGCACTCAGCCATATTCCAGCTATTTGACAGCTGTCTGTAAATAATCGAGTCTGGACAAGACAATCCTGTGACTGACATCATCAGCATCAATCCATGCAATTGGGATACAATGACATGCATCATTTGTGTATTTGTTTGTTGTGTAACACCAGACTCAGCAATATTGCAGGTATATGCTGAGTGCAGCATTAAACAACAAACAAACAAACAAACCATAGTTAGACATAAAGTGGACACTTAAGTATAAGGTGAAACTCATCTTCAATATCACTGGTTATACATATACTTTCTTGAAAACCCAACCGAAAACATTCCTAATGTGCAAACCAACCTGGAACTGCCTTTTTCAGGTTCAAATCATATTAGGTTTGACATGAACACACGCCATGCTTTTTCTCCATGATGTAGTTTCTCAGACCTGTACAGTATTACTTACTCAAAGAAGTCAACTTCCCTTAGCAATTCTTTGGCAACAATGGCAGCGCTTCAAGAATCAATACCGAACCAGCCCCTCGACCAGAGTTGTGCCTCAAATATACGCATCTGATCACAAAATCAATACTGTGAAAGTGCCAGCGTGCGAACCGCGAGTTTTAATGTGTACATTTTCAACTCAGCAGCGCATTGTTGAAAGCTAGTGCTTAAGGGCATGAAATTAATCTTCCAAGATCAATGTCTCATTCAGAGATAGATTGTATACGGCTTTGAACATTGTTATTACTCAAAAATAACTAAGCGCAAAAAATAAATACCCTACAGAGAAACTGTATTATATCGGATTCAGACTTGCAGAAAGTTTCTATCAACTTCCTGCCAGTTAATGAGAGTTTGGTTTTTTAACACTTTATTCTTTCACAAACTTTTCATTTAGTTACAAGAACATCTGCAAGCTCAAATTTAAATCTATTTTCTCAAAATATATATTTTATTTGGAATATTGTTTTAGGTCATAATTTCAACAGAAGAAATAATCTATTTTTGCAAATGAAATCACAGATTTCAACAAACCCTTATTGACTCATACCAGTTGAGACTTCTTTGAGATCAGGTGCACTTAAATTGGTTTGTTTAACGTTTCAAAAACTCATTAATCACATGCACACAGCTAATGTGCAATTGGTACAACAGAGGCTAGAAAGAAACGTTGAAGAACTTGTCTACCAGTAGTCAGTCTCACAGTCCCTAAATCATGTTTTTTTTCCCTTCTGCCCAGCCCTTAGTGTAATGCTCTAAATGAACCAAGTCTAGATTTGCCACTGTCGGTCTCTCAGTCCCTGAACCATGTTATTTTCCCTTCAACCCAACCCTTACTGTAATGCTGTAGCCCTAAATGGAAAAAGTCTTGATTTTCCAGAGATTCTGAAAACCCATCTCATTGGGGATCCATTTTAATTTAAATGTAGCTGCTTGTTTCTATCAAAATTATAAATTTACAGAGACCAAGCGTTAGTCTACTCTACCAGTGACTGCCCCTTTTATGCTACCCAGTGCAAACCATGGAAAGCCCCAAGCTTCTCAGACATTAAACTGGTTTATCCTTCACAGATTTGTCTCACAACACTTCACACAATCGGAATTCATGTTTACAGTTTTCCATGTGATGGGATAAACATCAGCGATACAAAGATTGGTTAGTAAAGAGAAACACTTATTCC